GATCAAAAGTTTATTACAATTTTAAATGCAGGCTATCAAAGAGAACCAATTTTAGTATTTATCGTTGTTTGAATTTTGAATCATTAAAATCCTTCAATCCGATCGGAAGTTATGATTTTTTAAACATATGCATGCAGGGAAACATTTCTGACCACACAGTATATTTTCGGTAAAGAATTTTTTTCTCAAAGGTGCGTAGGATTTCGAGGTTATGTCTATTGACCAAAAATGATTGCAATCGACCCCCGCAACCAAAAATAATTTTTTCAGAATGATTTAAAATTTTTGTTTTTCAGGGTAACCAGACAGTTATGATCAGACATTATATTTTCGGTAAGGAATTTTTTTCTCGAAACTGCGTAGGAATTCGGGGGTATGCCCATTGACCAAGAATGATTGTATTTGACCCCCACAACCAAAAATAATTTTTTCAGAATGATTTAAAATTTTTGTTTTTCAGGATAACCAGACAGTTATGATCAGACATTATATTTTCGGTAAGGAATTTTTTTCTCGAAACTGCGTAGGAATTCGGGGGTATGTCCATTGACCAAGAATGATTGTATTTGACCCCCGCAACCAAAAATAATTTTTTCAGAATGATTTAAAATGTTACAATTTAATTTTTTAATAATTCTCGATTTCTTAAATATTCTTGATTTTCATCTTATTTTGGCCCCTAGAATCTCTCATTAAAATCTATCTCAGAGGTGGTCGAACACCCTGTTATATGGGTGACGTAGCAACCAAATTGTTCAGGTGAAATATTAGTTTTCGCGTCTAACATCACCCTTTTCGAACACTGTGCGTCGACGAGGAGAAAGCGAGAGCGGTTGTCGCTTTCGTCGAACCTGACCCGTTGAACACGAAAGCTCTCCGGGTTTCTCTCGTCCTAGGCCGCGAAAGAGCTTCCGTTCCGTGGGATAAAAAGAAAAGAGAGGCGACCGGCGCGGGCGTGTGTCCTCGGGGCTTGCGAATATAACGGCGCGGCGCGACGCGACGCATTCTCGATGGTGGCTGGCCTGACCCTCGGCCGCTGTCAAGCGTGAACTCGCACCCATTGACTCTGGGGATGAACACGAGAGGGACGAGGAGGCATCTCGGGCAAATATACGTGTCACGGGGTCTGGGGCTTACGTGCTATACGGTGGGGTACGCGTGTATGTGGGTCGACCGGAAGCGCACGCAGGGCAACGAGGTGTAACGCAGCAAAAGAGAACAAAACGGAACGGAACGGAAAAAGAAAATACAAAACTACCTCCAACCAGAAGGTTGCGTAATCAGCTCGCGAAGGTTAACGAGCGTGCACCGACGTTGCCCGCGCGTACACCTTTCTCCGATCCACGCTGCCGGCCATAAGCGGAGGAAGAGGTAACCCGTACGGTTATGAGACAGGGTAGAAATATGGGACATCAAGGTTTTCTACTATCGACCAAATTAACTGTACCAAAACTTCGTTTATTCCCTAAATATATATTATTAACGCGATGATACCTTACGGGCCGGTATCATTATCGTGAAACGGCGTGTTCTCGCTTTCGAAACAGAAATGTCGAAGTTGAAACGATATCCGTGTAAGAACAGTGAGAGTTCCTCAAGAGAAAATAAAAACAGACGTATACCAGAACGCAGGTTCCTCTATTTGAGATACACACTGCGTGCCATAACTATAAAATCACCCAAGAACTTTCAATTTTATGTATATTCTTGTTGAAATTCGAAGAAACGGAATATACCATATTTGAGATTATATTTATTTTTAAAAAACGAACTACAGAAAACTGGTTTCTTACTGTTTCATAACTATAGAACCAAGCATTCTAGAACAAGCAGTTTTATTTTGCCTAGTGTGATAATATTAATTTGGTTAATAATGCCACGTGGAAGTTATTTAAGTGAGCAAGAAAAAGGCAAAATTTTAGCTTTTCGCGAAAGTAATGTGAAAATACCTGAAATTGTACATAGACTTAATCTATCTCACAATGTTGTGATGAATTTTTTTGAAAATCCCAATTAATATGGGCAAAATAAAAAAGGGGGACCAAAAAAGTAGCTTTCTCTCAGATCTCAACGTTTAATACTTAACACAGTGAGCAATTCTAGTAAAACAATTACTGAAATTAAGTCGAAACTTCAATTAAATGTGTCTCATTCGACGATACATCGAATTATCACAAGTAGTTCTTACATAAGAAGACAAAATTTTATTAAAACTCCTTGACTATTAAGTCGGGACAAAGAAGCTACACGAGAGTTAAAAATTGAAAATTTCAGAGTGGTTTTATAGTTACGACACGCGGTGTATGTAAGGAACAACAAAACATAGATTAAACATAGTAGAATCGTCGCAAATTTTCTAAATTGATATGTTCTGTTAGGTCCAGGCTATTCATTCTCATACATTATATTTGTTATGAGTTTCTCTAAAGAATACAGTGAGTATTTCATGTTCCTACCTCTTCCTCTATCAGGACATCAGTAACATCGGGGAAAAAATCGTACACTGATCTTCCTGGAGTGATTTTAAAGGAACCGTCTACTTTCACGCGCCCGTGTCGAATTTCCTCAAAGATCATTTCACGCAAGGAAGAACGAGAAAGCGAAAATTAAATACGATTGATAAATCTTTTGGAAGTCGTTTGAATTTCAAACACTTTTAACGTGAAAGCACTTTTGTTCTTTCGTGCTCTTCCTATTGCAAGAATATCTCAAAACGAGTTCGTCTCAGGGACACGAAAGCGCACGATTTAACTTTCGAAATCGCTCCCAGGAATCGACATTTATACATACGACTTTCTTTTTTAAAGTTACAATATCCCTGACAATGGAAACGTTTCCAAACATTTTTAATACTTATAACCGGCAATATATGTGAAAAGTAAGGGGGTGGTGGGGGTGGAAGGGGCCGCTCTCTCTCAGCGTGCAAAAAGAAAAAAAACATTTTATTCATAAATAATAATAATAATAAATCATAGTAATAATATTGGTATAATAATGACAATAGTAATCGTAAAATGGACAAATCCATCGTCGATAATTTTGAGAACCCGATTAATAATAATACCGAAACGGGGGAACAAGGATACGATATGCACCATTGGACGTACGCTAACCCCGAAAAAACCGATAACGAAAAAAAAAAAAAAATAATAAAAAGGAACAATGATAGAGATTAAAAAAAAAAAAAAAAAATATATACGTATATACGCTTGCGAATACAATGTATAATGTGATTGCGTTCGTATCGATAAATTCCAATATAAAAGAGACATTCTTATTTACACGAAATACGTACACACCGCGCGTTCTACGCCGTTTATTCTCGATCGGACTTTTTTTTTTTTTTTTTTATTTACATTCTACGTGCAGACAAACGTCCTACTCGCATCGAAGTCGGTGTTTTTTTTATTGTTTCGCGCGAGCGTAGAGGTGTTCGAAGACGGCGCACGGCGTTTATCACAATTTCGCATCTCGATATAGTAATTTAGTCGTCGAAACGTCGAAAATCATCGATTGCTCGCTCGAGAGTGTACCGAACATCGTAGAAATAAACAGAGGATGAGTAACGAAAGATACGAGGGAACGTGTTCCCGCGTCGAACCGGTCGTAATCGATCGCGCTGAATGTAACTAATTTTGCAATCGACGTTGATTGTCACGGGCGAAAATTGTTCTCGCGGTTGTACGAAAATTCTGAAATCGTTTCGATCACGCATTGCACCATTTCCCGCGAGAATCAGGATCGAGAGGTTTCCGTTGGTCGCGTCTTTGGGGCGGCAACGCGCGTTTTAAGTACCCCTAAGCGCGTATGTACCTCGAGCTCGAGAGAAAGGTTCGGAAACAGGACGAGAAAAGATCCCTCGTGTTGCACGGTTTAGGAAACGGAGAGCACCGCGAGACGTTAACTTAGATACATTAACTTATACTTTACTTTAAGGTTTGTACTGCGACTATCCTCGTGACACCCGATAAACCACCCATCCGTAAATTAAGTAATACAAAAATAACAAGTTTTCCTATTTCTCGGACAGAATTAAATAAAAAAAACGTCTTCTAAGTAAGTTCAGCCGCGAGTGGAAGTACCGATGCTTCGGCTCGACTATTTACATACAATGCAACGTATATACAGACCGAGTCGTAAATTCGTGACGCGCGCTGGACCGGCTGGACTCCCGTGATTCGAAACGGGACGAGAATCGAGAGCAACGAAATTGACCGATGTTTTCGGAATAAATTATTTTCCACGCGGACAGGAATCCAATAGGTGTTGGGTCGTTAATTAAGTACAGGTTCTCGTCTTATTTCGAGCGATGAAATCTACCCGAGCCCAATTTGCATCGCGAATTTACGACCCGCTTCTCTATATGTATATATATTTCTCTCTTTATAACCTTAGTAGAAAAATTAAATTTCCAGCGCAGACTCGGAGCGCCTCGTTTGTTTCATTTTTTTTTCTTTAAATACGAGATTTGTCTGCTCGAACGGAGACTCCTTCACAGTATCACATAGCGTTTCCCGCGATTCGAATTCGAACACGCCTCTTTCTCCGGGTGTGGTATCGAAAAGTAACTGGACACTCATCGCGGAATCGATTATCAACGAAGATTCCGCGAAGAGGGTATTCTCGATGCCGCCTCGTAAATGCTAGAGAACGCATGGAAAAACCGACAACCACGCGTGACGTCTACATAACCCAACGATACTGCCGAGAAACCAACGTTTGAATCGACCATCGGCGTTACAAAGGAGATTCTTTAACGACTCGTCGATCACGTGTACATTAAACGATTAAAAAATGGTTCGCCAACCAACGCTGTAACTCTGAACGGAAACGGACAACGAACGCGTGGAACACCGGCATCGTTCTCGATCCCTAGATCTCAGATCCATCCGGAGACACACACGCGTGAAATCGTTCTACGGAAACTGGTCGCGCGTTCCACAGAGTCGAGGACGCGGAGGTCCCGCGAAATCTAATCAAGATTCCAACGGACGTTCCGTCTATCCCAATCTCGATTGTTGATGATGTTGTTGATCCTGGTGCTGTTGTTGCTGCTGCTGTTGTTGCTGCTGCTGCTGCTGCTGCTGTTGTTGCTGAGAGCTTACTCTCTCGGAATGTTCTCTCTGCTCTCTCTCCCGTTCTCGCATCTGTTCCATCTCCTTGCGTTGCTGCTCGTTCTTGCTGTGTTGCCGATGATAGATGCTCTTGTGGTTCCGGAGGCTGTTCAGGCTCGAGTAAACCCGCTTGCAGATGTTACAGATCGGTTCCTTGCTGGGCCTGGTGTGCACGTTCTGTATGTGCCGCCTCAACCGCGTTAAGGAGGTCAGGATTTTGTTGCAAGGCTCGCATCGAAACTCATCGGACGCGCCGCTGCCAGCCAACTGACCTGGCGGCAGAACCAGACACAGGGGTTACTTTTGGTTTGTTTCTGCTCGAAACTGTCAGATTCGGACGCGTGGGTCCGGGCACGCACGGGAAAACTCGTTTCTAGAGTCCTCTCTCTAGTCACGTGCATCGCGTGTACCGTGACACGTGGTCATTTACTTTATCCATTCTCAACACCACCATCTACCACCTTTTTTTATTTTTTTATCCGAGAGAGAGAAATATTCGTGCGCCCTTCTCGCTTAGTTCGCGCACAACGTTGCACCGTCACCCGACCAAGCCGTGCTCAAACTGTCTTTGTCTTTTGCATCTTCATCGTATCGCCCATTCTAGTTTCCGCTTTTTCTTTACGCGCGCGTGCTATTCGACGGGAAACCCCAGTCTTCCGCCAGCCATCGTGTCCGCGCCATTGTCATCGTTCCGTTTCTCGATCGTCTCACCGTCTCTAAAACTGATTCGCTTTGTCTCTCTTTTTTTTATAAATTACTTTGTTCCATGATGAAACTCAACGATCGCGAGCATAGCGAGAGAACTTTGCGAAATTGAAATTTATGTAAAATTAACTATACGACAGATCGATTTATCGTTGCAACGATAACACTGGTCGACTGTGTTCTTCTAAATAGATCGAAAGAATTTAATTGCCTCAAGAGCGGGCCGAGGAATTTAATAAGGTAGTTCGAAGAAGGCCATCGGCATTTTGATACAACAAAGTATTGTTCGTGGATGGAGATACTGTAGTTCGAATCGGGAATCCATTTATCGCGATACGATGACAATGGCGACGACCGTTTGGCAGAAGAATTCCTCCGATTCGAAAGGCAGCGGCGTGCAGAAGTACCTTTACTTTTCACGATTCATCGTTGTGCTCTTTTTGTTTTTTTGTTTTTTTAGCGCATTACGATAGTAGAGTGCAAGCAATTCCAAGATTCCAGTGAACGATCGTGAGCGATGACGTTAGTGTTTTCAGAGCACCAGAGATGGATCCATGTCGATGCGTATTATTTACAGCAAGACAGAGCAGAGTAGATTCTTGTAGGTATACGTGTGTGGATATATATATATGTAAATATATATATAAATATATGTATATACAAGAGTGTGATATAATTGGTCTAACGGAATGATGCGATGAAGCGAACGGTTGATTTGTTGGTTTTATTTTACGATCGCGAAATTGCCTATCAGGGATCTGAGAGTTCCACGGTTCCGCGGGTTTGGCGTTTAACAGCGAAACAACAGATTTCCTTACTTCAGAAACGTATTTTTATTTTCTCATTCGGCTCTAACGACAAACACGGTACACGCTAGTAACAGTTACGCTCGATCCTTGTCGATTCGACGATGCTGGATCGCGAAGAACGAGACATGAAAACGAGGGACGGACGGAACGATACGAGAAACGAGAGACGCGAGGTCCGTACACGAAAAATTATTTTCAAAGGTTCGCAGATACATGGGTCACGGTCCAATCTAACGATAAATTAGACGCGTCGTTGGTGCGAATAAGCACACCCGAGATATTCACCTCGAAACGGTGACCAAAGCTACTTCGATACTCGTTCGATCTTCAAACTTTGTTAAAAATTTATTCAAATTGAATGAAACGATCGAGCTACAACTAAACAATTCCTTGGTAAATACTTACTTCGCATCGCTTCTTCGTAAACCGAATATAAAACGCAAAGTTCAATTTTTATCGTATCTTAATGTATCTTAAGTTTTATTAATTATTTTCAAATATAACTAACGATACAAATATACAGAGAAAATGAAGAAGATGCAGAGTAGGTACCTATTTGAAAAGTTTCTCGATTACGATTTACGGTGCTTTCGGTGATTACACAGCTTTCTTTAATTAATTAATTTTTATTTTTATTTGACGCAAAATAATATAAAAATTGTTAATCAAAATTAATGTTAACAGTGTGAATGATCCATAAACTTGTTTCCAAGGATTTATGTACTTTTAAATATCATTTTTCGTTTCTAAGTCGCCGTTCTCGAACACTGTGCGACGCGTCTGTTCGTTACTCACTGTTTCTACTTCTATGTCCAACTCGAATCTATCAAACGCGTACCCATATATCTTGAAAAAATGTTATTCTTTCCTTTCGACAAAGACTAATCGAATACCGTGTCTTGTAATCGCTAATAAACTTTTAGAAATTTTAGATGATCGACGTTTGGCCAGCTTTTCGAGGCAAATATCGCGCTACGCGGAGATGGCCGTTCCTCCATCGATTGTTCGCAGAGCTGGCGATCAACGGAGGAAGGAATGACTACAAAGTCGACTTTATCGTGGGTGAAGTACCCTCGGTTAACCCTCGAGGGTGGATGAGGAAGAGCACAATCGTACCGAACGAGACAGATATCGATTTCGCCGCGGACTTGGCACGAGACTGGTTCAGATGGCGGAACACATTTATTTCCGAACATATTATACAGTCGTACCCCGAACTTGCGTGCTAATTGGCTCCGGAATAGCCAACGCGAGTCGAGAAAGGGACCCGAATATACAAAGAAATGAAAATAAAAAAAATTCAGGACTCGTTTTCCACTCTTCGGTAAAGGCGAGGGAGATAAAGATTAGCGTACGGTTATATTTATAATTCTAAAATATGTAAAACGAAGCACGCGAGCACGAAACGTGTATCGCTGCTAGAAACGACATAAGTGAGAAACAGGGTACGACTGTATATGTTAACGCTGTATTAGATTAGCTTTTTCCCCGTTCATTAGTAAACGCGATGAGGGAGGTGAAGTTTAGCGTACGGTTATATTAATAATTATAAGATACGCAAAATCTGAAGAAACGTCGCTGCTATGGAAACTGGGATACACGCGTTCTTCTCTTTTCAATTTTCGTAATTTTTATTCGAGTTAATTGCTTCGTTCTTCCTTAACGTATACTACGATCGTCGAAGAAAAATTCTAAAAAGAAAACGAAACCATATAAATAGTCAACACTAAATTGTAGGTACGTATTTTTATTGAAATTCGTCTTTTTTAAAATCATTATACATATTTGTCGTTACATTGATCGAATTCAACATAAATTGGTAACAAGTAAGTTCTGCAACTTTAAGTATGAAGCGTTATCTTCGAACAACGTAACAAGAAATCAAAACGATTCGGTGCGTTCGAACGAGTTGGATAATTACTGAACACTGGTCAACAACAAATGCAGGGTGTTGGATCACCTTTGGGAAAAATTGTAATGGGAGATTCTTGGTGGCAAAATAAGACGGAAATCAAGAATACCAATTCGTTGATCGAGGCTTCGTTAAAAAGTTATTAACGGTTAAAGTTCCGTCTGTAGAATGGTAATGCGATAGTGGCGCACGCAACTTTAAACGTTAATAACTTTTCAACGAAGCCTCGATCAACAAATTGGTATTCTTGATTTTCGTCTTATTTTGCCCCCAAGAATCTCCCATTACAATTCTTCCCAGAAGTGGCCACCATGCATGTACTCTTCGTTCGAGTAGACAATCCTCTGCGACTCTAATACTAATGTCTCCGATACAGAATGTAAAACCGAAAGTTCTGTCTTTTCCCGTAACGCGATGGAAACGACGCGGGGGTACGACTGTACAACAGAACCGTGGGGGAACGTCCGCGCGAAACTTAAGCTAACGCGAGTCATTAAACTCTCTTTGGCGTGTGTAACGAGGTAACGCTTCGTCGCGATCCGAGGACTAGGAAGGAATGGCCGTCTGGCGGACGAGCTCGAACGGAATCGGAATCTGTGCCTGGTGAACATCCACGCGAGCGCTTGAAACTCCTGATTTCAGCCTGAACGCGTCCCCTGGGCGGTCGATGTGTTCTCGATTTCGAGACGCGAGACGGGACCACCGACGCAATTCGGTCAGTAAACCGCGTGGAAGGTCGTTCAATACGTGACCTCGCACTGTTCCTCGTGCTCCTTGCGGTCCTTCCTCGCGTGGTACTGGCTCTTGTGGCTGACGAGGCTGTTCCTGGACTTGTAACTCCTGCCGCACTGGTCGCACGACAGTGACTGCGGCACGTAGAAGTGCGTGTCCGCCAGGTGCCTCTGAAGGGACCAGGCTCGCGAGAACGTCTTCTGGCAGAAGCTGCAGTACGTGGCGCTGTTCGATCGGTTCGCGGAGCTCTTGTGGTCCGCGTCGCGATACTTGGACGCTGTCTGCAGGTTACCGTTCTGCGCGAGCCATCGTAGATCGGCGAACGGGCCGGTCTCGGTGGTCCTCGCTTGCTGTTGCTGTCTGTTGCCGATCTGCTGGCGAATCTGATGGTGGGCGGTCGACAGCGGATCCGCCTGCAGATCGATCTGCTCCGAGAGCAGACAGGACTCGAGCTCGTCGATCTTCGGCGACAGAGGCTCCGACTTGAGCACGATCTGCATCTGATCGTTAATGTCGTCTAAGAGATCGATAATGGGCAGTTCCTGGTGCTGCTGGTGGCCATGCTGCGCCACCTCGCACTGACTAGTTCCTGTACTTTGGCCCGATTCGCCGGTTTCCCGTTGACCGTCTCCGTTGGTAGCGGACTGCCAACCCCCGTCCTCCTCGGCGACCTCCCGGTCTGCAACCAAAGAGGAGGGGGCTGAGTCCAACCGAGAATCGCGCGAATTAATAACCGCGTCGCGATTTTACTCGTCTTTTCCGGGCGTTCTGTCGTCGTCCCGGCGCGTCGAATGGCTCGCAGGCGGCCACGACGACCGGGATGGGGTCGAAAACGAGGTGGAAAAGAGAGAAAAGAACAGAGAATCGAGAGAAACGCGAGCCGCTTTCCGGCTAAACGGGCACCGGTATGTTGTTAATCGTCCGCGAGAGGTTCAGGAAGGGTGAGAGAGAGAGAGAGGAGGATCTCGAAAGGTGGATGGGGCTAGGGGAGCTGAGCAAGGTAGGGCGTGCGTACATTCATCGTCTCATAAAAGCGAGTATAACGTCCGCGAGGATGAGATGTCGATACAACGAGAGAGCGGCAGTAGTAATGGGAGTATAAGAGCAAGAGCAACAGCGGGAACGTAACGGCGATGCTTCTTCTTTGCGGGATTTTACCCAGCCGGTTACCCTAGCAACGGAACCCCCTACGAGCAACGTTTCTTCCCCCGATTTTCCGTGGTGCCTTGCTGCTTGGCCAGGAACAAGGGGGGGGGGTAGAGAGGGGGGATATATACGTAGGATGCGTATTATTCTTAATAACCCCCGTATGCCGTTGCGCTGTATTATGACTGATGTTGACTCTAAGCGCGGAGAGCCACGGCGATCGATAACTCGACTACCGCCGTGACTACGAAACCAACGACGAAGGGAGGGCCAACGGGGTTGCAAAGAGTCGAGGGCCGGAGGGATCGGCGGGGAGAGAAAAATCTAAGTAGCTTCCGGATTGGTTACGCGAGTCTTACCAACTTTTTGAAAGAGTTACGCGAACGGTGGTGGGGACGAGCCAAGACAGGGGGTTGCGAAGCAAGGAGGACGAGTGGAACAACTACCCTCCCTTCGGCCCTCCCAGGCCCTCTTTCCCTCCGATATGCGGTTGCGCGTTTCGCGAAATCACCGCGATTACAGGATTCGAGTCTTCTCGAACCTTCTACACTCCCAGCCAAAAAGATACACTCGCTTCCAACGGAAATATCTCTCATTGCGTGCAACCCTAAATAATTAGTCGCTTCTGTCGGGCAATTCCCTTCTTGCGGGTGCGTATTTTCGTTGTCAGCCACGAAAGCTTTCGTCGTTCTATGTAATTCAATGTAATTAAATTCTTCTATATAATTGATATAACTCAAATGCATGATTTACAATACAGCCCAACTTCGATAACTTGAAAACCTCTGTAAGTCGAAACAACATTTACTTCAACCCGAATTATCTGCCACATGCGTTATATGCATTATTTGATCTCTATAACTTGAATTTAGAATCCTTGAACCTCTATAAATCGAACTTTTATCATGGCTACCTAACTGGGAACAAAATAACGCTGGGAAACGTAAGATGATGTTTTATAGAAAAGTGTAATGACATTGAAAACAATATATTTTCTGCTTTAGTTATCGTTGAAAATGCCATTGATCAGCAATCTATTAACCCTTAAAATTGGGCCCGCTGCGGCCCTCCTCAAGTTTAAACTAATAATTATTTAATATATGTCAATGTAACTATTTGAAAATCTTTGCAATTCTCCATTAGTTCATTATTTTTTAAATGCTTGAAAGGAAAGTTACTTTACATTTACCAATTTGGTAAAACTTAACATTAAATAAAATAATTCAGTTTAGATCGATGGGTCCACTTAAGGGTTAAATCTTTAACACTGTTGAATTTCCTAACCGTCTCACGATGTTACAAAAATCATTTCCAGTGACCACTGTACATGTCTAAAGTTTCTTCCCTGTTTTCTACGAACTCATGGTGTTTATTAAACAAAGATAAGAGTACGTCGCGAGGGCGAACTGCTTGTTACTCTCGCCTTTCTTCCGCGGGTGAACCGCCCAGTTTAAAACCCGATTTCAGAACATCTTCGCGTTACGAATAAAGACTAAATATTCTACAGTGAAATAGTGTTGTTTAATTCAATCATACAACCCATAGCCCTACAATTCCAATAAACACAAAGTAAAATTACGGGACTCTTTTAGTAATAATCAGTAATAGCAGCCTTTCGTCTGTAATAGAACTTGCTTATGATTATGATTATGTTCTGCATATGTAAAATAAAAAATTGAACTTTAACTATCATACAAAGCCTCCGTAAGTCTCCTCTTGAGAACCTCTCTTGGTCGAAGACTTCGATAACTCGAAGATTCTGGCTCTTCCCCCGAGATCGAATCATCGAAGTTCGACTGTACGGATATTCCTCTTCGAGACGTTTCAAGCGCGTAAAAAGAAATGGAAATAAAAGCGTACCGCGATGGAAAACGTTAGTTTCGTCGCGTATCCGTAACACGACGCGGGACCGCGAAGGGTTAATCGCAGAACAAGCGAGGAGAGCCTAGCAGAGTATAGCGCGAAACTAAAGTGTCTCGATGAATTAAGTACCGGCGCAACCGACTAGACCTTCACCTTGTCTCTCGACATAAACAGCCTTTATCGATTTCCGATTGCTACGCGCAAAATCCCGCGATAACGCGGAACGCGCGCGTAAGGAAAATTCGCGTCGCTCCGCGGGAACGGACGACGATCGTCGATGCGTTTTCTTTCTTTTTTTTCCTGTTTATTTCCCCCCCTTGTCCACGGATCCGTACGCAACGCGCTCGAATTTGTGCAAACGACGCACAGTCTTCGGAATCGATTGGGCGGGGAGGAAACGCGCCGCGGTCGTTCGGGACGCCAGGCACTAACTCCTGCCGCTCGCGTTACGCACACGGTGCGCCTCCAGATGAAATGTAAATATATTTTCGTGCGAATTTTTCGAGCTAATTTTAACCGATAAATGTTGCGTCGACTGATTTCTTTATTGTCTTCGAGATAGGAGAGTCTTAACGCGCTCGTTGCGGAACACCAGATATACAGTAACGGACAAAAGTTTCGGGCGGCCTCGTTATCGCCGAATAACGGACACCAGGCAGGGGTATTAAATTTTTATTAGGAGGGCAACCACGTTCGACTAAGTTTCGTCGTATCGCGCGAAAGAATAAAATATATATTCGTAGAAAGATACCGGAAAGTATTGCATGAAAAAAAAATACAGATCGAATCGTGACAGCGAACGACTATGGAACGAAAGTATAAACGCCCCTGTCTCCCTCGCACGTTCTTGCTCTCTCTCTTGCTCTACAGCCCCTCCCTGGCTCCTTCCTAGCCCCACGCCCCCCTCCGTCCCCCTCTGCAGTCGGTTCTCTCTGTCTGACGCCCGCGCTCACTGTTGCGCAGTTTTCGAGGTCACCTCAAGTTCATCATCGATAATAGCGCAAGCAAGGCGAAAACAAGCAGCTAGACCTGGGCGTCCCCGATAAGTACACATACTACAGATAAAAAATTCCGTCGGATTTGGTTCAGAACGAACTTTCGTTTGGCCTTGGCAGGCGCCGCGTCCGCGCCCGCGCCCGCACCCGCGCCCGCGACCTACGAAAGTAAATTGCCAGCCGCGCGGATCGTCGGCTACCGAAACGAACCAACGACAAAACCGTCGGAGAAGAGACTGGTAGGGTCGCGGGACGAAGAAAAAAAATTGAGAGAGAGAGAGAGAGAGAGGAGAGATGAGTAAGTATCGAGTAAATAGACGTATGCACAAGGAGAAGACTCATGGACGTCGTGTAAGCAAGAGGCAGAAGAGAGCTCCGGGGGCACTTGCACACAGACAAACGTATGCACACGCCATCGAAATCGCCAACGACGACAGATGGCAGCATGAATTCCGCGTTTCGCAAACAGGCCATTAGCAAACGGGTTACGCAACTCTGCGAATTTCTTTACCTCGACTAGTCGCGCGAGCCCCGATATATATATATATATTGGATCGGCCAAAACGATAAGACGCTCGATATTCGTCAATGTTTCCTGTTAGAAAACGATCCATATGTTTTGCACACCCCGCCAGCGTTTAAACTTTCGAGTAGAGAAACGAACTTACGGTTACAGAGTCGAGGAAGAAAGAGTAACATTTTTCCTGTTATAAAACGATCCATACATTTTGTCTCCCCGCGTATCGAGCGTTAAAACTTTCGAGTAGAGAATTTACGGTTACGGAGTCGAAGAAGAAAGGGTAAACAGTTTTTCGTAAGAAAAATATAGGAGATCGCGCGTAACGGTTGGACAGGGCTGGAAGTGGAAACGGCGAGTAATGAACAGACGCTACGCGCTCGGACGCGCCAAGTATAATCATATTTGAAATTTTATTTCACATTCCAATATGTTCGTGCCGTGTTCTGTACTACAACTTAAGGCGACATTTTAAACATATAATGGAGTTTACGAAAAACAGTAAACCTCTTCTCGTTCGACAACTCCCTATCCTTTGGCAAAGTTGTTATATCGTTGATGCAAAACTCGTTTGATTTTTTATTAAAATGTAGTTAAACGCTTTTCGTTAAAACGTTTGACATTTTTAAATTGTTTGCCCACTTGTAAACCTGGAGGCTGTTGTATTTTATTTTGTTGAGAATAAGCATTGCATGCATGTATTTTCAATGAAAATTTGTATCCATTGGTGCAGTCCCCTTGCAAAGTTCAGTACTGTCCGAGGACACTCGTTTATTGCACCCCTTGAGCGTCTTTTTTTCCAGGCGTCAAGCTCAGTTTGCAGAAAACCGTCAAAGAACAGCATTTTCGTTTTGTAAAACTACATTAATTAAACTCTGTTGTGTTTATTTAGCAAATAAATAATCAACATATTCCTTGTAAGGCCAGGTTTTCTTATATGCTAACAAAAATATTGGTGCGATTAGGCTCAAGTACAATCAAGAAAATTTGTATGAATCGTTGATGTTGGTATGTTTAAAATTTCATAAATCTTCCGAACTGACAAATTTTATTTGTTTTTTATTAACACGTTGGCTGCCAGACCAAACCCCTCAAATTGGCCACGAAAACAAAACTTTGTTTTCAGACAACTGAAAACTACCATAACTCATCATTTGT